GTAACGTAGTCGATTGTTATAGCAAATATACGTTTGCTTCATCGAAAATCCCACCAAAGAATATGATATGCCAAAAGGCCTGGGGTTCCTTGAAATTCACATCTGCCCTGTGACCCAACGACACTCGTAGCAATGCGGCCGAGTGTTTAACGTGTCAAGCTCCCATTCTACACTGTCGCGGTTCGACTCCCGCTGAGATTGTTGATAAGACCAATGCGAGGTCGAAACTGCAGTCCACTGGTGCCTAGATGAGAACAACTTTTGGGAAAGCAAGGCTATGTGAAATTGAATGGAAACGTCAGCTCTACTCATATCATTGTGGGAAAATTCTACTACCATTCCTTCATCACCTAAAACGAAATTGGGTGAAGACATCTCATATTGCTGATTTACTGGTAGTCTCGAAACTCTAGTTAAATACTAGAAACAAGATAGACGCGGCGGAGACTGGAGCTAGTTGGCTGACAGTAGGTCTTACCATAGACGTGGTCTATGTAGCAAGGGCTTGGCGATGAGACGTACTCAGAGTCTTGAGCCTCGAATTAGTCACCCATACGCAGGGGAAGACGAATAACGCCTCGAGTAGCACAGATGGGATGGCATGGGTAGAGTGAAATACGTGAACCAGGGAGAGAGCAGACGGATCTTACGGGGCAAGAGAGAGAAACTATGATAAGACCTAGGGAAGGACTGCGTAACAATATGGCAGACTGTGATCAACATTCCCAGCACAAGGGTAAAGGAGTGAGAACGACAGCGTGGAGTGTGGAGGGTTTTCATGAATGCCGCTCAATTGACCACACCACACTACATCAAAATAAGCACAGTAAAAATTGTAACAGTGAAGGTGTGATAAGAGTAAATAGAAAATGTGAATAGCCCAGGTCAGAAGGAGAGATACCACAACTGTTTAGCACACGTTTGTTCAAAGGATCGGCTTCACTTGTGTCTTTGACGAGTTGTTGTGTGATGCTAAGAATGGCGAGACTCACTGCCGATGCCGGCGAAACATCTGTGAACGTACCACGTCCACGGCCCTACTCTGGAAATGATCATGGACTCCGGACTAGGTGTGTTCTTCTAAGTCTTCCTATTAATATGACCAAGTTGCGAAACAAAGTTAAACAATTTCTACACAACGAAAGGAGACTGCGACCACACAAACGGCCACACCATCTTGGTCTTTATACCTTCGATACACCGGTATTATTCGGAAAAAGAAACTAACCTGTCACCGGTTTTACTGAATAACACGAGCTGAGCAATGGACCGCTATGCACACATTCCTTCCATATTGACCAAGTCCAGCCACCAACCATCAAAATTATGCTCGGCATAAATGGTGATCTGCGCAAAAAGGAAATCGGGCCCTCGTGCTGCGTGAACTGAAACTCTGGTTTCGGAGTTATCATCTTCCCCGTCTCTTGGTCTTTGTGCGGCATCCAATCCACGTATACTAGTTCGCCGTCTTCTGTGCCAATATAAAAGAATGTGCTTACACCAGGCAAGGCTCGCATTTTTCCGGAGCCTGGCTTGCCACTACCGCCACCACCTCCACCTCCAGCGCCAGAGCCTAGATTTACATTGACTCCGGGGATGCTTGAGAGAGGCTTCTCGTTAACTAGATTATTTATTACACGTCGGTCACCTTGCATTTCCTTGTTAATATTGTTGGAAAGAAAAAAATATGGATACTTGGCTATTTTTACAGAAATATTATTTATTGCTTGTTGGCACATACAAAGTTAACAATGATCATTTAAGCTTGAGTAAGAAATTGAGGACAGAGATTTTGTAGTCTATTTTGTAAATACCCAATTGTCTTGGAGACTATGAGTGGCATGAATGGTTGGAATATTAAGAGCCTTAATTTAATATGACTTTAGCAAAGCATATCCCGTACAATTCAAAGCTTATCCTGCGTTGCAGAGCAAATGATCTAATTAACATATACCGGCTTAGCCAAAAGGCTCCAAAATCATATTAAGTATAATTGGCATAAAACGAGGATAGCATTACAAATTCCCAACGGCGAACTACTAGGGGTGATAACGAAGGTAAAGCTCAAAAGTCTCAGCAAAAAGTGTATGGGTTTAGGCTCTAAAGGCTTGATTTGATGTAGTAGCTTTTGAGATGGACTTATGATGAAGTGACATTCGGACACAGTTAATGAAATTCTTTATCACGCTACCATTCATAAAGTAGAAGAAAGCTACGAGACTGAGAGGAGTAAGCTGTTTAAGTTCATAGATATTAAGTCTAGATTTAGGAGAGATTTAAACAGGGTTCTGTCCATGATTTACTTGAGGTCACATAGGATCCCGGATTTGATAAATATCAGGCATAACACGAAGTCGCTTATATATGAGATAATAAGGAGGCGCAGGATTCAGTCAACCCTACCAAATCATGATGTTACGGTATTGACGGCATCCACTCTTCCCTAGGAGGATAAGAATCCCTCTTGATTCCTAAGGCGTGGATCTCCTGAAGATGAGACCTTCAGCTATTGCAGTTCTTAAGGCAATATACATCGGACCATTAGAAATAATGATAAGATCCAAAAAATAGTGCCCTGAGGATTGAAGAATTCCGAAGATCCCAGGAAAGTAAAAAACGGCAAATCAAAGAAAGTTGCTGTAGTCTTTTTATGAGAGTAATGTACATATATCCTCCTTAACCTCGTTAAAATTAATTGAAAATCATCTCAACAAGATGACTACTCCTTGGAATTGAAAGGAATATTGGAAGTAGGGTAATAAATTTTTGCTGCTAAATGAATTTATGAATATCAAACAATACACATCACCTAATAAGATGATGAAACTTAGATATTCAGGAATCCGGTTAGATAACTAACCTCTTAACTTACTCCTTAGCA